TTTCTTCATTTTGTATATGCACCTGTGGGGAAAGGCCGAAGAGCTTCGAGCACAGAATTGGCAGGTCAGTGTCTCAGAGAGGGCTCCCCGAAGGCTTGCATCCTCCGGGTCAGCGATTCCCGAAAGGCGGAGATCGAAGCTGCTGAGAAGCACAAGAAGGCGCCGATGGCAAACCGCAGCTGGCCGTAGCAGGAGTAACGCCGAAGTGGATAAACTTCGCATACTGCGTCCAGAAGTCGTGGCAGGTGCTTGAGAAGCAGCTTGTGACTGCACAGCGCACTTTGACAGAAGCCCAGGAACAGTTGGGCCACGTTCTCAGCCCTAGTCGGTTCGACTGCGACGGTGGAGTTTCGCGAAGGGGGTGACGATGAGGTTTTGTCAAAGAGCTGAACCAATCCCTGGTGGCAAACCGACGGGACATGGCCAAGCTGGGCCCTAAGTAGCAGAAGGATGCCGACTGAAAGCAGCTTCACCTCTCATACCCCTTAAAGCCCCCACGTCTCGAGACCTTTTGCTTTGATCCTAATCTGCTTGTAGAGTTCGGTTGCAGAGTCTTGCTTGTGCCCAGGGGCAAGAAGGGCTATGCGGACGGCTCAGAGATCTCAGCCCGGAGACTCCAATATCCCTTAATTCAGGAATAATATACCTTGAAAATCATATTAGGGATCCTACTATAACTTAAAGTATATCCCATATCACTTAATTATAACCCAAGGTATACTATTCCTAAATTAAGGGATCTTGGAGTCTGTTTCAGTAATCGTCGCTGAGAAAGCATGGGGCTGACGAGGCAGAGTCTTCGTCCGGGCCGGCCAAGGAAGTGGTCCGAGCCCAAGCCGTGCCTTCCGACTGCCAGGCTTTAGGGGTTCCCTTCTAGGGGTTTATAGGGTGTTCAGGTTGAGGGCCAGCTTGGGTTCCTTATTCGAATTATAGCCGAATGTATACCCCCCAAACCTATTCGAATTATAAAAGGCTTACAGGGTTTAGGGGTTCCTTTTTGGGGTTTGTTGGGTTTTAAGGTTGAGGGGTTCAGAGTCAGACGTCAGACCGGGGGGGGGGGAGCGCACGTGTCAAGGCGGAAGACCCGCTACTCCTGCGCCTTCGTGAGCAGGCGCAGGGCTCGATCTGCAGGTGTTTTAGGACGCGATGGGAGCCGGCAGCCTCCTTTTGCAGGTGACAAAGCTTCGTGAGAAGGTCTCCGCCGCGACAGATGGCTAGAGAGAAAGGTCTTCAATGCACCTCCAGCAACATCTCAGAGATTTGGGGGATGCCGAGTGAGGGTCAGTTTCTGCATGTTGCCTTAGCTTGTTGGATCAAGATGCGGGAGGCATTAAGCAGCTGAGGGCACCCACACGGAGGTTTGGACAGCCTCGACTACACTTCAATCCCACACTCCCCAGGTCATTGATGCTTGTTCAGTCGACGGTAGCGCAGCCTGCTCCGAAACACAGCCACGGAACGCCACGCAGCACCCCACACAAACACTTGCTACCTTCAAGACACCAAAAGACGCGGCTAAACTGATTCAGTGCTTCACCTGAGCCGTGGAGCTGCGCGAGCAGCCATGGACTCCGAGGCAGGGACCATCGGGGCTCTTTCAGGAAGCCGTCGCATTTTTTCACCCTTTTTGGACCGTAGCAGAGTGCTGGGCCTAGGTGACCTCGAGACCTGGATGGCTCCGGGAAGAGGCAGAAGTGGTTCTTTCCTGCTCCTGTCTCTTCCCCTCTCTGCGCGATTCGTCAGGATGAGGCCTTGATCGAGGAAGATGCAGAGAGAAATGCAGAGCAGGCGAGGGAGCTGGCGCGGACTGGAGTAACTTCTGTGCAGCACCCCTATGTAGCCTATGTAGTTGTACTACAAAAAACTGCGCCCCCAAAACCCGGTGAAAGCTTGAGGCTTCTTTTTTCAAACAGCTGCCTTGGGATGCCCTTTAGAGGCAGAGCGAAACGCGAGCATGCGATCTCTTCTGAGAAAGCGTCCGCGGCTCAGCCGCCAAAGGAGGATCCCTGGTCTCTGGCAGGATCAGGAGGCTGTGGATTTCGAGTCTGAACACAGCAGCGGTAGCAGCAGGGGCAGCAGTGACTGTAGCAGCCAGCAGTGGCGCAAAGTGGCACCACTTTCCGAGCTGCTTCACAACTTGAGCTGCAATAGCAGAGACTTGGCCCCTGAACCTGAACCCTAAACCCCTACCCCCAAAACCCCAAACCCCTAAACCCCTAAACGATGACCATGATTGAGAGCACATCGGATTCCTGCTCGATTTACTGAATTGCTAAAAAGAGAAGTCCCCGTCCTCTTGACGGGACACGGCTCCCACATCATAAAGCAGGGCGTGACTCTCATCCATGGTATGTGGTAAGAAGCAGCATGCTCGCAAACATGGCAACAGCGATGCATGATAATCATGTTGAGAAGATGAGCATGATGATGGTGCTATATGATGATGCTGGACCGGTAGTGTTCATGTGATGATCATGATGATCCGAACGTTGCTTGTCCTGTTGCTGTGGTGATCGTCATCATGGCAGTCTTCGAGGAGAAGGATGGCTGCCAAAACCTGCCAAAGTTGCAGTGACTATCACGAAAAGACTGAAGTAGATGGAGACAGAGCACTCAGGAAAATCTAGCGAAGAGTGCCAATTCGTAGTGCTATGATCAGCCTTTGACGAGGCCGCGAAGAGCCGCGCGAAGAACAAGCCGCGGCAGCCTTCGAGGCTTACAAGTGGGAGCATGGTTTCAGCATCAGTGTTCATGAGCTTTCTGGATGTAAGGTTAGCAGTCGAAGCTTTATTCAGGGGGCTTCGTGAAGGTTTACATACACCCAGCTGAGGCGTTTATGGGTGTCACCAACACGAAGAGCGTCCCCTCGAGAAGGGCGGTGGCCGACGAGGGCCAACCACCATGGCTGCTTGGCAACATGATGCGATCCGAGCTTGGGAAGTTCTTCGCTTGCCTAGGTTCGTTCCACGGCCCCACATCGACAACGCGGCGCGCAAAGCTGTTGCGCTGTTCGGGTAGTGTTGCAGGGGGTGCCGGCAAAAGCGTTCATGGGATCGCTTGATGTTTGTTGCGGCAGGTTCTCCGCTTGCACGAGGCCAGCGGCTGTGGTGCAACTCTCCAAATAGAGAAACCCTCTACGGCTTTTCGTACTTGTGCACTAGGAGATCTTAGACTTCGTCGACTTCATGCAGCATACTCAAGAGGAGGCCGTCTAGCTACGCGATCGTCGGTGAAGCAGAGGCTCACATTTGCAGGTGCATGCCCGGCGAAGATGGGTCTGCTGCTCGATCAGTGGCCAGTATTCCTGCGGCGTGAGCATGTTGCATAGATTACTACTTGGAGGTTCATGCGTAGTCATAAGTAGGGTTCTAAGTTCTAAGTAGGGTAATTATACTTATAGTCCATATTAGGGGAGCTTATAACCCCACTTATAACTACCCCTGAACCCTCCAAGTAGAGCTCATTCCGATTGCGACGGTCCCCAAGGTGAGAACCCTAAACCCCTAAACCCCTAAACCCCTAAACCCCTAAACCCCTAAACCCCTAAACCCCTAAACCCTTAAACCCAAGGTGCAGACCATCAAGGATACCTGCAAGGCTTTGTGGCCAGGCTGCAAGGTCGGGCCTGGACCTGTGGTTCTTGTTCGGGGGGTTTAGGGGTTGAGGGGTTGAGGGGTTTGGGGTTTAGGGGTTTAGGGGTTATGGGGTTTAGGGCTTAGGGGTTTAGGGGTTGAGGGGTTGAGGGGTTCAGGGGTTCAGGGGTTTAGGGGTTTAGGGGTTGAGGGGTTGAGGGGTTCAGGGGTTTAGGGTTTTAGGGGTTTAGGGGTTTACGGGTTATGGGGTTTGGGGGGTTTGGGGGGTTTAGGGGTTTAGGGTTTAGGGTTTAGGGGTTTAGGGCTTAGGGGTTTAGGGGTTTAGGGTTTAGGGTTTAGGGGGATGGGGGGGGGAGGGGGCGGGGAGGGGGCGGGGCTTAGCACACTTCACGTGTGACATGACATTGCTTTAATCTCGCCGCTTGAGTTGCGTCGCGGTGCAGGAAAGCAGGTCAGTTCAACAGACACATAACAGCAATGCCACTGTCCTCCAGTACGAGTAACATCAGCCTACGTGTACGTGTATATGTGAATACTTGTGTTTGTATACGTATATGTATGCGCAGAAATTTATGTGTGTATCTATATAACTATGCATGTACATATACATTTATACATATATACATATATACATAAATGCATGTACATGTATAGACATAGACATAAATACATACGTACGTACATGCTGTATGTATATGAATATGTGTATGTACATGTGTGTACATATATGTGTGTTTCTGCGATTATATGCGTTTATGCATATGCATAGGAGTATGTATGTCTGTATATTTATACACCTACAATATCGACGATTATACATTGGCAGGTCTCGGTTTTTGGCTCCTTCTTCACCGGCCTCTCCTTGCCGAATGGTGACGTGGATGTCGCAGTCACCGATGTCGCCTGCAAGTGCACCTGCCAGTAAAGGGATGGGAAGACTCAGGGCTTGGGTCAGGTTCGATTCTTTTGTGTGCCGCGTTCTCGCACGCCGCCTGACGCTGCCTATGGGCTGCAAGCTTGTAGCTGCAAGCCTTCAACTTTGCAAGCCCTCCCGAACACAACAGATGGTCATTGTCGTACTCTACTTACAAGAGTCAGCGACAGTGTAGTGAAGCGTAGCCTCCATGCGCATCTCTCAACTAGGCCTATCCGATCGCAGCCTTGGAGCCTTTGCACTGGGCCATGGCCAGTGCTAGCTGAACCTCAGCGAGAGGCCGCTCGGGACAGTACAGGTTACATTATGTAATAGTATTACATTGCTCTACAGTATATCATATGATGTTATATATTATACTGCATTATGCTATACTATATACTTACCATACTACAGTACGCAACGTATAAGTTCTGCAGCCCGTGCACAAGCGCAGGTCGCCTGGGTTTTGAAGAGGGCAGCGAGACACCTTGATGGCAGGCTGACGAGGGCTGTTGGCGACTGTGTTACCGACACCTGAGGTCACAGAATGAGAGAGCTGACGGATGCTTTGGGACAACCCGAAAGATATCGGCATGTAACCGGTAAGCCTGAAGACGTACCCGGTCCAGGTGACGGGGTGTTCCACAATGAGTACATCATACTCGTCGTGGTAGGCCGGAGCCATTGGCATGGGCGTCTGATGCCTGAAGCTTTTGGTCGCGTGAGCTTGGAGGCATCATCCTCTTCGGCCTGTGCACCGGGCTTTGCGCCTTCACCTGGAGGTCTCCGATGTGGTGAGGTTTAGAATATGATTTTTGTGAGCATGTTGAAGCCTGGTAGCATACGGTGGCAGATGACAGGAATCGCCAGGACCTCTGGCTCCTCATAGCGGCCCACGCCTCTGTCGCACACACCAAACATCATCACTAGGCTCAGCCTGAGAGCCGCCCTAAAACCATTCTTGGGTCGCCGATCTGAGATCCCGCTCCACTTGGATCCTGCGCACAAGAACCCCATCGAAGAGGCCCGCGGCTTGCGTGGAGTCAGACATGCCATGCGGCCCCGTGGAGATTCGCTTCTGCAGCATTCAGCAGACTATTGCAGCGCAGAGCGTCGACTACACACAGTACCTGCATACTTAGAGCGCGACTAACTTGGAGGGAGCACGTTTTAAGTCAACACGCTCAAGCTCGATCCACCCAGCCAGCCATCTTTTCTCGAATTGTTCAGATAGAGGATCACTGCTTGCCGAGCGGGCCGAGCAGAAAGCATGTCTAGCTACAGTGACAAGACGAGATCCCTAACTGCCCGCATTCTTCACACTTGCGGAAGGGTATCTTACTTACATATAATAACATGCATTTTCCATATATCTGCTATTGTAGATTATCGTATAGTGTATTATATCATAGCATACTGTACTATATTATATTTAGCAGTTGCTTGAGGCGATGGTCGCCATCATCCACAATCTTTGCAAGCGTTACTGACTAGCAGTGATTAGCAGACATCATCGTTGTCGAAGCTTGTGAAGGACTCTTTTTTCTGAAAGGCATGTTGAATCTGCAGACTTGCCTTCGACAGAAGCGGTGTAGTTACCGAATCTTGGTTTGGTATCTCAGATGATGCTGGCATTGCAACAACATTCTGAGCTGTAGGGGTGCTTGAAATGATGGTCTCATGATACCAAAACACCCGCTGTGACTTTAGAATCGTAGATACCTCAGTCTGAACCCCGCAACCCGCCATTCACTGGTCCGAAGCCGACACCCTCAGGTTGCCAAGCTTAAACTTTCACGCTACCCTAAACCCCAAACCGGAAACCCTTGCAGCCTCAAGCCCGAAGCCCTAAAGCCTGCCCCCAAAACCCTAGAACCGATACGTGCAGAAGACTAAGATTCCCAACTACCCCGTCATAAACGTCTGAAAAAGTCAGGCGACTGAGCAGGACCGGATCATCTTCGAGCGAGCTGGATGCCCAGGAATCTGGTTGAAGGGTTTAGGGTTCGGAGTCTGAGCTCCTGGATAGCTTGAATAAAGCCGCTGGGGGTATACGGTACTATACTTGGAGGTTCATGGAAAGTTAGAAGTAGGGTTATAAGTCGGGTAACTATACTTATAACCCATATTAGGGGACTCATAACCCCATTTATACCTACCCTAAACCCTAAACCCTATAGATCCCTTACAGGAACCCCTATAACCCCCTCTTCTAACTACCCATGAACCTCCAAGTAGCTCTGGTGGGGATCTCCGCTTGGGTTCTTTTTCACACCGTTTACTCAGATCTGGCCAGTTGCTTTGGTTTGGCCAGGTAGCTCGAAAGGTTGTGCGACATATGCCATAATAACGTACCGAAAGTGATCGTTATCAGGCTCAAAAAACCTTTAGCCGGAGCTCCCAAGACTAAGAAGACCTGTGTGACTAGATAGTTATCGCAAGGGCTTCCGGGTGAATGCCCAAGCTAGGCCGCCAAAGTGGCTTCCAAGTATAAGGCCGGAAACGGAGCGTCGAAAAAGGCAGACCGAAGATTTAACTCAACAAAGAAGATTTCATGATGTAATAATGCCTACTTATCTACCTACCTTACACATTTTCGTACCGACCGACCGACCGACCCAGCTCTCCTACAGCCTATCGAACTGCTGCTACTGCTCCTGCTGCTGTGACTACGCCACTGCCACTGCCGGCACTACTACCTTGATCTTGTGGATACCGTACGCAGTACTAACATGTACTGACTAGCTAAGGCCTAGTTTGTACTTGGCATACTCTAGACCTCACACAAGCCCTGTAGACTCCAACCCCTTTTACTGGCTTTTAGTCAAAAGACTTGGTGTGAGATACCATAAGGACTAGAGCATGTACTGCATGCTCAACAGATATGATAGTACGTTGCCGGGTCTCTCGAGTTTGCCTCGGTCTTCACGCTCACTGGGCAAGTCTGCCTGTTGTTGTGCGTAGCTCGCTCTGTGACGCATCGGGCTCGGGCCAGGGGGATGAGGAAGTTGCGAGTTTCAGGGTCCTCGGGGTCAGTTTCGGTGTTGAGTTTCGGGGCTGAGTTTCGGAACGGGCCCGGGTCAGTTTCGGATCAGGCCCGGGTCAGTTTCGGATCGGCTACGGGTCAGTTTCGGATCGGGATGTGGTCAGTTTCGGATCGGCCCCAGGCCGGATTCAGGTACGGAGCAGGCCTGGTCCCAGCATGCAGGTTTCTGTTCACGACAGGTCTCGGCAGCAGGTCTCCCCCCGCAGCTGTCCAGGTCCCGGCCGCAGGTCCCCTGTCCGCCCAAGGCCACGTCCCAGTCCGCAGGTCACCCTGGATGTGTTGTTGTGTTGGTGTGTTGTGTTGCGTGTGTTGGGTGTTGGTGTGTTGCTGTTCGTGTTCGTTGGTGGATGGGGGTGTTTGCTGCATTGGTGTGTTGTATGTTGGGTGGGTGTGCTGGTGTGTTGTGTTGGTACGTCGGTTTGTGGGTGTTTGCCGAGACGGAGGAGCGCTTGATCCCGCAGCCCTGAGCAATCAATTTTATAACCCCAACCCACCCTAAACCCAGTAACCCCAATCGCTGACTCCCACTGCGATAGGCCTAAATCCTGGTTGCGCCCATAGTAAACTTGAACCCATGCAATCCCCAACTTGAGGCCTAAACTTGCCATCCCCATCACCCCATCCCCCAAAAGCCCCGGGGCTTTGAGCCCAAACACCCAAACCTAACAGTCTAGACTTCAACACCGAAATCTCAAACCGAAGCTTCGAAAGCGCTCGGGCCGCCATGGCTTGCACGCAACACAACATGCAGTTCCGCAGGGGGCTTAGCTCCTCCTACAGTCGGAAATACCATCATTCGACATGCAAAGAGATATTATAGATATTATGGAGATGCACTTTCACTTACGTATCTATGTTCCGAGAAATCAGTATGCTTTGTATGTAATGCGGGCATGCATGCAAGAATGACCATTGTACGCACGTAGGTATGCATGCATGCATGCATGCATGCATGTATGTATGTATGTATATATGTAGGCACGTATGTATGTGGGCATGCACGTAGGTATGTAGGCTATGTGTGCATCTATGATCATCTATGTTTCTTGTCTGTTCGTTTGCTTAGTTGCCAACTTGCTTGCGTTCTTGCGTGCTGCTTGCTTGTTGGTGTGCCCGTATGTTTGCGTGCTTGAATGTACGTATGTTTGCCCGTATACATGTACTTGCGTAGATACGTACATAGGTACAGGTATGTATGTACGTAGGTAGGTGGGTACGTATGTATGCATCATGTAGACCTCTATCTCTCTGTCTCTCCGTTCCTCGAGCGTTGTACGTTTCAGACGCGGTAGGGTAGATTTCAGGTCCGATTTCAGGCATGAAGTTCGGCAAAGTTGCATTTCAGACACACATTTCAGACGCAGTGGTGATACTTGGAAATTGCAAGGTTGGCCATAGAGTTAGGGTTTGAGCATATCATATACATATAAATGTATTTAAACACGCCCCTCATTTGGCGATTCCGGCTATCATATACCTTAAACACCCCCCCATTCTGCGATTCCGGTGTATCATATGTTTTTGAACACGCCCCTCATTTGGCGATTCCGGCTATCATATATCTTAAACACGCCCCCATTCTGCGTTTCCGGCTATCATATACCTTAAACACGCGCCCCATTGGGCGATTCCGGTTTATCATGTAAATGTATATACATATATTTAAACACACCCCTCCTTTGGCGATTCCGGTTGTCATATAACTTAAACACGCCCCCCAATCGCTCAAATGGCTACAGCAACATGTTTGGGCTCGAAACTCCTTTGTCTCCTTGGGGTATTTTGCGGCCACTGCATCAGAGGATGCCTCCTAATGTGAAGATTGGCTTGGGACAGTGGGGAGACCCTAGTGAGCGACAGAAAATTTCAGAGGTCACTGATCCCATTCAGCTGCCTTCCATCGGTGGTGGTGCTCCCTCTGATGCCCTTGGAACTGCTGCCAGCAATGCCGCGCCGTTGTTGTCCGAGGGAAGCAGACGAGAGACTGAAGACAGGGCATCTAATCCACCAGGTTTGACATGTCCTCATGCAGCCAGACTTGCTGAACGAAATGAGGCTGCGCAGCGTGTTCAGCCTGTAGCATCGCATCAAGGAGTGCTTGAGAACGCTATCACGGCTATTGACCCACTCAATAGAGGCCGAGGAGAGAGAAGAGAACGTCCAGTTCGCAAAGAATCACGAGAGCGGAGTAGGCGACTTGAGCGCAATGATCGACCTGATATCAGGCGCTCTTCCGTCAGCTCTGGAGCGGGTTCAGCTGAACATGACCTTAAAAAGGTTAAATTAGAACATGACGCTCCCACAGGTGCTGCCCCCAATCCACCTACTGCGAACCCCAAAGAAGACGAGCTTATGGATGCGAGAAGCCCGGTATGTTATGATCTAACACAACAGGATGTGGAGGATGATGTTGAGTTGAACGAAAGAACAGGTGGAATTGGACCTGTTTCTGAAGGGATTACCGCCCCAACCCCTGCCATGGGACCTGTTCCCACAACTCCTCTTAATCACCTCGTTCAGCAACACCAGCAACAGCAGATAACGCCACCATGGATCTCTGACTTGCTTGATTCCATGGCAACACTACATCAAAAGCAAGACCGAACACATGTCGATGTTCTTGAATTCGGGAGTGAGATTCGTAGTCAAGGTCTTCGACTGGACACTCTCGAAGCTGGTGTGAAAGAACACACCGATATGCATGAAGCCACCAAAACCAGACTTACTGAACTTGAGAAACAGGTTCGAGAACTTCAAAACCGACCATCTCGCTCCCCGACTCCCCAGCGTGGCCCGATTACTCCTCGACGTATGACCGCCCCCCAAGGTGGCTCAAAAAGCCCTCGCTCACCACATTTTGCTGGTAACGATGATAGGGATGATCCTGATGATTTGCAATTAGTCATTGGAGGCTGGACTGATGCACGCAAGACGGAGGCCTTCGAAGAAGTAAAACACATGTTCGCTGCTTGTGGTCACAATAATTGCTGGTCAGATCTATGGGCTCCTGCTTCTCGTACAAACTTTGTGCGTGTTGCTTTGCACTTTCCAGATGATGGGGCGCACATTTCGGTACTCAGAGCATATCAGCAAACTGTCCTTCATGCGCTTAAAGAGAGATCGTTCAAGAGCGGAATCCAAGGACAATCTCAGGTCAAACTTTGGTGCACTAAGAACAAGTCTCCCGAAGCACGTGCAAGGGTACGGGCATGCGTCTTGACCAAAGTCTTTTTCAAGAGTCTTCCCCCCTTTCAGGGCTGCCAGGTTGCTGAGCCTGAGATCATTTGGCAGGGACGGGTCTTCCTGAATAACGTTCAGGTTCTGTACCATATCGACAAGCGGGACGCCTGCGCAGGAGATATTTTCCTCCCTGACAATCGTGGAAACCATATGGAGTGGTATATCAGTGCAAGTGCTTTCAGTCAAGCAACCAATAGACCTCCTGAGACACTTGAAGAATGCTACCTGCAGTATGGAGGCTCTACGGACAAACAGGGTTGACAGCCAGCAAAAAGAATTCATATGCATGCAGCAAGCTGGAATTTACAAGGTAAATCCTTGAAGGACCTGGTAACATGCTGGGATCAGACAGGCCTTGAAGGCCTGGACGTTTTAGGTATCCAGGAATTGGGTGGTTTTGCAACGCAAGAAGAAGCCTGGAAACTCCATGAGGCTAGTCTTGATGGACCTTGGGGTTTCTATGTCTCCAATCACCCGAAAACCCATCATTCTATTGCACTAGGGTTCCCCGCGCGCCTCCTTCCTTACGTTTCGGAGGTTCATGTTTTCACTGCTGGGATAGGGGTTCTCCTTAAGCTTGATGGAGTCAAGAAGTTTTTTGTTTCAGCTCACCTGCCCCATAAACAAAGGGATGACTGTATCGATATGTGGCAAAAGTTCCAAACTGAACTTGATGCCTTTCT